TCCGATTCCTTCTAAATTCTACTTAAACTGTATATTTCTAATATATCTGCTTAATCTCTTAAATTTGTACAATTATTTTAATTATTTTATTTTTATTTTTCTCTCCACAATAAAAAATTACAAAATAACTAAAATGTCGTCCGATTCACACTCATCCCTACTTTTTCGAAAATGAGTAGAGGTCTATCGCTTGTTTCTTTTCTAAGATTGGATTTCCAGTTCCTCCTGAATTCTGCTTCAAATGCATATTTCTAATATCTCCGCTTAAGCTTTTAAATTTTTGCCATTTATTTAATTTAATCATTTTATTTCTTATTTTTGTATCCACAACAGGAGAAAAAGGTTAAAATGACCGGTTTACACACATCCTTGCTTTTTCGAACATGAGTAGAGGTCTATTGCTTGTTTCATTTCTAAGACTGGATTTCCGATTCCTTCTAAATTCCAATTCTAACACCTCCGCCTAAACTCTTAAATCCATACTACTACTGTGTTTCCGGTTCTTTTAAAAAAAAATTCCCACTCTTTCACTTTCAGCAGATCCTTGCGTCATAGTGGTAATACCACCTTGCTTGGGGTGAATTGATTTAAAAAAAAAAATCCTACGTAAATTAAAATGTATGAATGTCAATTAGGTGCTAGTTAAAAGTTATTTTAAAATTGTTTTTCCCTTTGGCTGGGTGCATTATCAGAATGAATTCCATCAACGTAGAGTATTTTCCCTACATTGCTGTTGATGATTCTGTTGCAAATATGTGAATTCTTTCCCTATCAATAAAATTGCTCTGTCATCTTCCATTCAGATTACCTGTCTTTATCTATGCATGAATGAAAGACCAGCAAGAAATATTCTTTTAAGAAATCTTAATATCATATTAACACTTTTAACATCAATGATAAAGTGATCTAGTTTCTGATAGATATTTTCGTAACATCTAAGCAATATTTAATTAGCATGCCAGATGTTCTAAACCACAAGAAAACAAACCAATACGTCGCCTAGTAGAGTGCAACTTAGAAATACATTAAAAAAAAAGAAAAGTCTTACACTTTCTTGGATTCGTGTTTTACATCACAAACTGAGAGGAATATATGGAGATTTTCTAAGAGTAGCTTAAATATGGCACAAGGCCGAAATTACGGAGCACCCAATGAGAATCGAACTCACTACTCAGTCATTGTTTTAGCTAGACAAGCTTGCTAATAATTGGCCACGTCGAGGTGCCCCCAACTTATAAACGTAGCTCAAATATGGCAGAACGCAGAAAGTAGGTGATACTCAGTGATGATCGAACTCATTATTCAGTCGTAAGTGGCCTAGCGAGACAAGTTTGCTAAACATTACGCTACGTCCAAGTGCCCATGAAAGTTATATATGAAGATGATTTTAAAGAACTTTTAACGTATGATCTTGATTTACAAATTTTTCTTTGTAATAATAGGGAGAGATTATTACCAATCAATCAGACATTTATTACTTCGCATATGCGGCAACTCATCTATAAGTGGTAGCATAATTTTTAAATCGATTTATTGTGCACGGCTAATAATATATTAACAGGCAAGAAATTGACATATTCGATTTAACTGGTTATCGGCAAAAACGCTTATTAGGGAAAAAGCTTTTTTTATTTGTTGAAGATACAAGATTCATAGAAGATTTATTATATACGAGTTGTTATTTAGACCTTCAATGTTTTTATAGATATTACGAGCTTTTTGTGTAGAAAAATTAAGCACAGTTCATGTCTAAAGAATGAAAGTTCGAATAAAAAAAAGATGGCAATCGGGTGATGATGATGAAGGTTTAGAAGGTCAATATCAATGAAAGATAAGAAAAAAAAATCTTTTGATAATATCAAACACAAAGGTAAAATAACGTTCCGGATCCTGATTTCATTCTGGGGAAGTTATCAAAATAGAAACGAAATGTTAAAATAGATTAATCAAGAAGATCCCCTCATAGGAATATTGCCTTTTGTATAATTTCGTTTGAGCTGATCACTTTCTTATAACCCTTGGGTGTATTTACATATCTTACATTGATAAATAAATATGAACTCACATCTTCCTGGTGTCATTTTAAACTGACATCTAACGGTGACCATTTTGCTTAAAGGTGATAGTTTCCTGATTTCAGATGTAAAATTGGAACATATAGGAACTGGAGCATTTCCAACATTTTTCAATTAAATTTACAATTTTAGAAATGGTATTTTATAATTCTAGTTTAAGGCACATATCGAAAGGGTTCATCACGTTTTGGCATGCCGGTCTTTTTCCCAAGATGAAAAGTTATGGTGTCTCCGAACGAATTTGATCCAGTCTTTCTTTTCAAATAACCAAATCACATCCCTGATGGCATATATTCTCATCTTAACATCGATGCTGATGACACAGCAATTTTTCTTGATTTGAGAGGAAAACTTGAATCATTTAAGAACTGGTACATTTCCAACAATTTTCAATTAAATTTACAATTTTAAAATTAACTTTTATAATTCTAACTTATGGCATCTGGAAAGTGTTCGGCACTTTTTGGCATATCGGTTTTCTTCCCAAGATGAAAATTTATCGTGTCTCCAGACGAATCTGATCCAGTCTTTCTTTTCAAATCGCAACATAATAGTTGTCACTTTCTAGGTCTTTCCGTACTAAAGTTCCTCCCCCAGGGCTCTATCTTTGGACATATTTTTTTAATAATGTGCACGTATGACGTCCCTGACGGCATATATTCTCATCTTGACATCGGTGTTCATGGCACAACAAATTAATCCTGACTTGACGGTAATTCTAATATGTCCAGTAAGGTCAAATTGTTAGCTTGATCTAAGAAATAACTTACAGTCTATTGCAAACTGGGAAAAAGAAGGGCTTCATACTTTTACGCCATCTTTATATATCAGCTGAAAGAGCACTTTCTGTTTACCCTCAGCATGGCTGAAAGTAACCTACATGTTGTCGGTCTAATATTCCTGACTGACATGAATTGGAAAGAATATATTGAATCAATTGCTAAGTTTTTTGCTAATGTGTCGTACGTGACAGTTTTTCTCTCCATAATCTATCTTACATATTTATGAATTCATCATTCGTCCATGCTTTGAATATTGATGCCACATATGGTCCGTATCTATATAAAAGGTGTTTCATTAAGACGTATCAAAGTCAGCAGTAAATAAATCAGTGTGAAAATGTGGAAAAAAATATTTATTTCTCTATTTGATCATGTTATTTAAATCAGCGATTATGTGTGAAAAATAATATCGCTTAAATGTCTCCCAAGGCTTCGGATGCACACCTTCACTCGATGGTCAAAATTTTGGATGACGTCACTGCATAGTTTCTCCTCGATCTCACCAATATGATTTATTATCTCATCCTCCAGCTGTTGAATTTTTGTTGGCATGTTGGCATAGACCTTACTTTTGAGATGATCCCAAAAGAAGACATCTAAAGGCGTCACTTCGCACGATCGTGGTTGCCAATTGACTTTGCTGTTTTGAGAGATGATTCGACCTGGGAACATCTCATACAATTTTGTATGAACGTTCATTTTCGTAATAGGCCACATTTTTTGATGGTTTATCTTTCCATGGTTGAAAATATCAAAGAGGTAAGTTGTTAAATGTGAATGAAAAAGAAACAAATCATTAGACGCTTAAAGTTAATTCACATTTAAAATCGGTCCAAGTTATTGGAACACGCTTTATTTGGATATTCTTGACAAATTCCAGAGAAGAATCAGCGATATTATTAGATCTGACCTGGCCTCTCGGCTTCAGTAACTTTCCCGCTGCTTTAATGTAGCTTCCCTGTGAATTTTCCATAAATACTTTCATGCTAATTGTTTGGATGAAGTCATCGTTATGGTATCTAGACGTTATGAATTAACGCACAGCGCTAGATTGGTGGTTAGGTTTCATCATTTTCAGAGTTTACTTAGCGAGTAACCGTTAACATTTTCTTTTCTAGCACTTCTCGCTTGTGGAACTCTCTTCCTGTCCCATCTTTTCGACCAACTTTAATCTTCAATAGTTTTAATGCAATGTTAATATTAGGTTGGTGCAAAAATAATGACAATAATAATGTCGTTTTTGACGTTAAAAAATACGTCAAAAAAACAACATTTGTACGTCATTATTTTTGCACCAACCTAATAGTTAGCTACTGTCTTCTTATTTACTCTTCTATTGATTTCGCTCCTTAATAATATTTCCATTTTTTTCTTATTCTTTCACACTCAGTAAACCCTTGTGCCTTAGTCGCTTTAATATGTTGCATGGGGCGATAAAATTAATAAAGCAATATTTACCCAAACATTCATTTATCCAATCATTTTATCATTAATAACTTCAGACTGATTGGAATAAAAACAATGATTTGGAACATATGTGGAATCATTTTAAAATGATTTACTTCTCATCATTAACTTAATAAGAAAACTATTAATTAATATATTCCCAATATATTTCCAAGCAGTTAAATAAAAATTTAAACATGCTTGACTTTAAAATTATCCAAATTGTGACGGGCTATTTTAGCAAGATTTCCTGTACTGTAACACGACAAAGATTTATGCGTTTACAAGTTTATCGTTCCAAAAAGAAACCACTTCCGCTGAAAGAATTTTAATCCAATTTGTGTATTCCGATTTTCATACAGAGATGTGCATTTTCTAAGCGATTAATGTATAAGTAGCTTTTCTTTCTACGTGCATCTGTCGTTCTGTTTTTCCTACAAACAGATACATCAATCAGAGACGGAGACTTCCAGGGAGAAGCATGACGTCATATCTTCCTGTTTAAATCTTCTGCTCTCCTCTGATTTCATATGAGCTGAATTATGGAATAGATGTGTTATTTCTGTGCGGGTTCCTTTTCTAATGGCTACAGATTAATTCGAATAACAGAAATGTCTGTTGTAAACGATAGGCTTTAATGCTGGCTATGAATCCCGCCCGCTGCGAGTGACATTTTTGTGGCTATCAATGCTTGTAGTCCTCATTAATACGGACACAAACCGCACAGCGCGAGGCCACTTTCCCAACTGAGACAGGAAGTCCTATCTATCTAGCGTGGGCATCGCTTGCCACGGTAAAGAATTCAACAGCCGTGGAAGTACACCCATAAATCTCTGTTCACCATGCCAAAGTTTGATGATAAAAGAGAGAAAGAATTAGGTTGGCAGCAAAAGGCATTTCATTTTTCATGGATATTCGATGCCAAATGAAACGCTAGACAAAAATGAAAAAGGGACGATTACTAATTGTTGTGGATTCCGAGATGAAACCCGGTCTCAAATGAATGACAAACGCAGAAATGAAACATAGCAAATAAATGAATTGACGTAATAATACAATTGGTAATACGGTTAGTAGATCCAGAAATGCGGTTAGTAGCAATAATAATATATATACAGTCTGGGAAGTTCAGTATCGAAGTATGACTTCCTTCTGAGTCTACGTGCTCGCAACTGTGGCTCCTAAAAAGCGGTTCCCTCTCACTCTCACTGTATCAGTATATCTCTCTATCGGATATTCACCGGCAGCAGTACAAGTACACACTGGGCGAGTCCACTTGTATGAAAAAGGGGTGGACCCCCATAACACTAATGATGTTAGATATGACCAAAATATATCAACATGATTAAAAAATAAAATTGTGGAATTTGACATTTCAGATAACGTGATGAAGCAGGAACAAAAAATAATGATTTGACAAATTTATATATAGTGAGACCTCTATGTAATGGACTAATAGTGCGGATAGTCCGTTATAGCCGTTAAATAGAAACAATTTTTTGTGTCCTTAATACACCCAGTACAGTAAAAGAAAATATTGTAAATAAACGTAAGTACAGTAATATATATACATATGTATTTTATTTTTAAGTTACCATATACCTTTAGATAAAATTTGAAATGATTTAAAGTTAAATCCGGAATCCGTTGCTTCAGATATCATTCATTCGAGGTTTTACCGTACCATATTACGGCCCATAGATCCAAAAATGCAGGTTTATTAAGTATTAAAAAAATAAATAAACAAAAGATAAGTGAAATATCTAAAAGAAAAATATGACACCCCATCCCAAATCTTATACTTTCTTCTATTTGCCATATCCATTCAGGACGTGAAAGATCATTGTCTTCACAACGCACTGTTATTTGTAGCTTTTAGCAATGTTTGTCTTTTTTCTACCCCTCCTAATTCTGTCAAACAGTTACACGAGTTTGTCAGTTATTTATTCGCTACTTTCTGCTGTCCATGTTGCCTTTATTATACGATGTTACGGTCAAATCTTATAATTCCTCTTTCCTCTTTATATGCCCTAGATGTTTTATTGTCTTTTTTATTATTGTTTCTCTCCATTTTCCCTAAAAATCCGTCGTTGCTCATATATTTGGTCAATGGTATCTTCAGTATCCTTCTGTAGAAACTCATTTCAATTACCTCAGATGTCTTCATCATCTGTGAGGAGATTGTTCAGCATTCACTGAGATATCGTACGACCGATATTACATAGCACACTCTTCTTTTTGTTTCTAACATAATTTACCTATTTCTTAATACGTTACATTCCTTTTGGAAGACATCTATTGCTATCTTCGGATGACGATGCCACATTTTCTCTCCTCTGTTGCATCACTTCCTAGGTAATGAATTCCCTTTTTTACTTGCTTGATTTTCTTGTCCTCAGTTCACATTTTATATCTTGGGCTATTCCTTTTACTGACAACTTTTCCGTTTTCTTCAAATTGATGTTTAGTAATTACTTCTAACTTTCCTTTACCTATTCTGTGATTGTAAATTTAATTCCGAGTCTGCAGGCAACATGTGTCATCTGTATATCTTACATTGTTAAGATTGTGGCCGCCGTTAATGAATGCTGGTAGGACTTCTAGTTTTCTTAGAATCGCATCGCTGTATAGATAGACAATGTCTGGCGAGAAGACATATACTTGTCTTAGGACCCCTTCTTTCTTATTTTCTGAATTTCTTCTCTATTCGCATGAATGTTCGCTCACTATTTCTTCTTTATGATGTGTACGGTCAGGAGAAAATGGTCCTCCAGAGCCTCCTATTCCTACCGTTCTACCATCCATTCAAACAATGTCGTCAAATAGAAAACCGGTTGCCTTCTCGTAGCCCTTTTTTGCATTCGACAGCAAGGAGGAAGTGCCACTAAGAAGTGCTTACAGAGAGTGAAAACAATAGAAAAGACTGGGTAGAAAGGATAAAAGATGAATGGGGTTCAAACAGAAGATGGCAGGTGAAACTACATTTGAATTCATAATGATTGTAGTTATCAGGAAAGCAAGTAAGGGGAAGAGAGTTCCACAACCGGGAAGTTAAAAAAAAACTGTTCGAGTATAGTTGGTGGTTATATTTAACTGTTTCAATATTAAAAGGGTGGGACCTAGATACCAATCTAGTAGCACGCCTAAATTCATGTAAATGGGGCACCAGGAAAAAAAAAACTCGTCAGCTCAGTTGCTATGAAACTATTTGTAGAAAAGACGGAGGGAAGTCACATCACGTCTGAGAGAAAGTGACTGATGTCGAGATGCCAGGTCAAGATCGATTACATTGCAGCTCATTCTTTAGATTTTGCCGGAAACCTAGAAATGAACAGCAGGTGCACCAGGCCAATATGGCAACAATATTCAATGCACGGAGGAATGGTAAATTTGTAAATATGTAAGATAGATTCTGACGCGAAAAACCTTCTGGCACGAGAGAAACAACATTCATTGCAGTAAATGCAAATATTGATTCAATGTAGTTCTTCCACTTCAATGCATATAAGCTGCATTCCTCTGCCTCATGGTTGACGTAGATAAGGATTTCCTATTTGAAACCAAGTACCCCGATCGCGAGTGCCGTAACCCATCGGGGTCGTAGGAGCTCAACTCGTACTGCAGCCGCAATAGCAGTGGTGTTTCATGGGTAAGATAGCCTGACTTAGCCCAACGTTCTCCACACGTTTCTTTTTTACTAGATAGGTTGCAAGCCAAATCTATAAGACCCAGACTGTTCTGCCTTTTACCTTTCGCAATGTTAGAACAATTGCTTAACCGCTGCTTGAAATAGGAATCCTTACCAAGTCTAGGGAATATGTTAAATGTTTTCAAGAATGCGGATTATCTCTCATCCGCGCCTGAATATCAGCCCATCAGCCTTCTTAATATCATCAGACAATTCTTGGCGGCTATAATCAAGAAGGTTTTCGATAACCTTAATAGGGCCAACATCTTGCGCACTAAACAGTACGGATTTCAAACTGCTCGGTCCATTGCCGACATTAGGAGGTAAGTGAATTTAATGAACGAGACTGGAATCTGAACACTGTTTTCCGTTCCCCCAACTCAAGCCGCTATTCATTATTATATGGTACTGGAATAATATTCCTAATGCTCATTGAAATGTAGCCCCTTTCCTACCGAAAAGATAGGAAGAATACGATCTTCAAAAGTATTATTCATTCTTAGTGGCATGTGTGGCTACTATAACGTTATTGTTAGGGAAAGTGAAATGGGCGAATCATCTTCAATTTCCAACATAGACAATCATGTTCTCTTTCGCACTTTTGTTCTTGTTGTCGCCAAGCGCTTGCATCCGAGTATCGGGGTCGACATTTTCTCTCCCCATTCGGTGATAGTGACAGAGATAGCTTTGAATCAAAAAGAGTTTGACGAGGCCATTCGGGTCAATTTGATTTTTGTGGACAATTATACACGACGGAGAAGCCCGCACACTTGGCCAGAAGCAATTCCCTCGCGGCTCAAAGGAAATTGAATGAGTCGAGATCTAGCAAAACTGGTTGCATCGGGCTGTCGGGCGATTGGTCTGCCTTGGTTACGGCAACCCGACTAGTGCCGTCCTCTTCCTCCGGTTCGCCCGTTGAAATTGTGGCAAGCCATATATATATATATATATATATATATATATAAGCAAATATATGGATATAGATCCGACAGTATGAAGCAAAATATACTGAAAAAACAAACAAAAATATGCGATTATGCTGTTTTAATGTTTAATGTCAACGTCGGACGTTTCGGTCTAATCAGTTATCTGTTTGGATTGGTATTGCTTTTATGTCCGTCGTCTTTTTCATGTTGAATTGTATATGGTCTATGTTAATTATGTTTTATGAATATGTCCTGAAGATGGTCTATTAGACCGAAACGTCAGACGTTGACATTAAACATTAAAACATCATAATCGCATATTAGGATTTTTGTTTGCTTTCTCAGTATATTTTTTTTATATATATATATATATATATATATATATATATATATATATATATATGTATATATATTCATGAATTATTCATACAAAAAACAAATACAAAGGTTAATGATTTAATTGGCGAGAAATCCATCGTCGCAAACAATTCAAATAATATACAAAAAGCCTCCGAACCTATTATGAATGAAAAGATCCTTGTTTCTATAAATTTCTGTTGCATTAGTTCTTATTTTACTACAAGCTTTCGTCTGTTCCTACAGACATCTTCAGGTATGGAATAGATGTTGTTCTTTTTTTTTTCTCAGTAATAAGAGGACGACGAAAATATATGTATTGTTGTATCCGAAAAATATATATATATATATATATATATATATGTGTGTGTGTGTATATATATATATATATATATATATATATGTGTGTGTGTGTGTGTATATATATATATATATATATATGTATAAATATATGATCAAGTTAATTAATTCCTTCAATATAATTAGTAGCAAGTAAATTAAAATTGTGTATGCTTGTTTGCAGACCGAATCATGTAGAACCAATTTCAGGTCATTAACTCTGAACTCTTGTAGTCTTTGTATTTGAGGCATTTTAGAAGGTTAACAAGTGATCCGGTAGTCATCTATAAAGGTTGACATTTTTTAATCTAACTGGTTCAATAACGTCAATATGTCCGAAACATTTATTTCCGGATGTTTTGGGGATGTACATATCAGTGAATATTCATTTTGGAAAAAAAAAGAATGTTTTATAATCGCATCCTGTGTTACCACTTTGATGATAGTAAAAATCAATTAGTATTTTTTTTGCAAAGCAAATGC